GTGCGTGCAGGGCGCGTGCACACAAGACACCAGCCGGGAGCCCCCCGCTCCCGGCAAAGATAGACTTGGCAACCCTACTTGTGAGGCCTGGCCCCAAGGCTCCCTTCCTCCCTGAAAGGCTGAAATAGGCCTGGAAAGGGCCCTTCCCTCACCCTTTTACTGACAAAGCCAGTTAGAAGCCCCTGCCCCCCCCCCCAACATTCTAATCTCTCACCGTTGATGCCTGAAGCAGATCCCTGCAGAGACCATTTCAAAAGGTTTTCGGGGGAATTCAGCCGTCCCTGAAGGGATGTTTTTAGTTTTTGGATTTTTCCACAAACCCAGGAAGTCTACTGACTATGTAGGAAAAGCTGTTGGGGGAGACTTGAGTCTCCTGTTGGTGGGAATAAGTATCCGCACGGGGGAAAAAAAACCTCTGGCTAATAGAATAAGGATTAAACAAAGACAATCACTTTGTTGTTGTTCAGTCGCACAGTCGAGTCCGACTCTTCGCAACCCCATGGACCAGCTCCCGCCAGGCCTTCCGGTCTTCTGCCGTCCTCTGAAGTTTGCTCAATTTCAATCACTATGCAGAGCCAAAGGGATGTTTGTGTGTATATATTGAAGCACACAAATAGAAACACTCCAATTGCCAAGTCTATACACATTCAAGTTTTGTACCACATAATATATACTTACAGATTCAAAGTTAGATTGGTTTTTTCTCAGGAAGGAAACACAAGCTTGCCTGACTGCCATATGATGGATCTGGCAAGCATATACCTAAACAAAATTAAAATTCTTTACAAACATGAACTACAAGGCAGCAATTCTATGCATTGATTCTGAGTAAGAAGTCTTAAGAGGGTTAGACTTTGTTACCCTTCCCGCAGCCCAATCCCGCATATAGAAGTAATCTGGAATCTCAGTGGGGCTTACTTCCAAGCAATGCTCCCTTTAAGCTGTGTAGTCCTGTGAGCAAAAATTCTACTTTGTGATCTACTGGCATTAAAGTTGTGAATGAGCGATTTGGCAACTGCATAAACTAGTTTGCTCTGGAACCATCCTTCCTGAGCGGAGACAAAAATGTGAGAGCCAGAGGCTAAAAAACTGTGAACTAGCTCACACTAACTCAGCTTAGAGGGAACACTGCCTCCAAGTAGGCATGTATAGGACCATAGCCTTCATTTGCAAAACATGGTCTTCTATTTTCCTCAGTTTTCTCAGAAAAAGGAACAACCACTGGGCAGAGAAGATAAGAGAAAATAAATTATGCACTATATGTATCACCTGTCCCTTTAGGGAAGCCTATCAGTAAAGAAGAACCCATGTTTCCTTGGCTTAAGGAATCCCCCGTGGTTTAAAAAGCAAAAACGGTAATGAGACCATCTGCTGGAAATGCAGGCCCTTATCCAACTCCTGAAAACACACAATACTTCAGAGCCAACTGGGAGAATAGATGGCCCTGGGCAGCAGGCTTTTCCATGTTTACAGACAGCCCCATCCAACCTAAAACAACTTCTTACCAATAATAACGGGCTTTACAACAGAGCCACCTGCCCAAGGATCAGACCCTGAAACAAATCCAGAGGCCAAGCCTGTCCCCATATCCACTCTGCCAATGCTATTACGGCTTTAATTACACTAGCTACACCACCCTGAGCGTATCTATCAAGTCATCATCCATCCTGTGCAATAGACCATTATGCATCAATAACTCCCTTCTGCTCTTGACATAAGGCAAACAGGGATGCCTTAATGCAAAAGTATCCACAGACATTAAACTGATATACAAAATGGCAATTAATCAGAAGTAAATGTGACAAAAAAGACTATGCTTTGGTACTTAATAACAACTGCAAGAATGGTGTACGCACAATGCTGGAAGCAAGAGAGAATACCAGAAATAGATGAATGGTTACGTAAAGTTCTGTTCATGGCAGAAATGGACAAAATTACGAGAAAATTGAACAACAAAGAAGACCAAGAATTTTTTCGAAGAATGGAATGACTTTAAAATGTATTTAGAGAAAAACTGGGATGTAAAACAAAATTTATTATGTCGAGAACAATATTAAGCTAAAATGTGTTATCTTGAGATATACTGGAGTGAATGAGAAAAAGGGGGACGCATTGCGGGAAGCCACTGGAGGGAGGGGTGGGAAGATAAAAGGTTTTGGTTAAATGGAAAATATTTTGAACATGTTATTACTTCCAAGAAAAATAAAAGTTTTTAACCCAAAAAAAAAAAGCCAGTCACTCCTTCAGCAATGAAACTCCAAAGGGAGATTCCAGTGTGAAAGTGCTAAATCAGAATTAACTAAGAAATCCAATACTGTCTTTCAAGAAATTAAAAGACTTGTGATCCCTCACCATTACAGGCAGTGACCAGTTTTGCAAATGTAGGGAGACTGTCAATTACAGCGCTTATAAAGAGTCTCTGTATTTTCCTTGAATGCTTCTAAATTTTACATAATTACCTCTCACCCTGTACCTAAGTACCCTTTAACCCTGCTGTTTACATTTTCCTCTTTTTTTTGGTTTTTCAGATAGACTGATCTTCCTCACAAGGATCCACACATTGTCGCTGACAAATTGGGCACATGAGTTCCACCTGAGTTCATACTAGAATAAGAGTCTTGTTAAGTCTTTAAGGTGCCACAAGAGCCCCATTTATTTTTGCCATAACAGACTAACACGACTACTGTTCTGGGGAAAGAACACAGCTGTACCCTTTTGCATGCTTACCTGGTAGCAAGCCCCACTGATCTCAGTGAAACATGGGCTGCTTGACTAGAAACTGGCCACTACCTTTCTCCAGTATCTACTAGGCAGCAAATCCCTCTGAAATCAGCAGGACATAGTCAATGCTCCCTCTAAGCTGCGGAGTCTTGCGAGCAAAAATTCTACTTTGAGAGCAGTGTTCCCTCTAAGCTGAGTTAGTGTGAGCTAGCTCACAGTTTTTTAGCCTCCAGCTCACGCATTTCTGTCTCGGCTCAGGAAGGAGCGCTCCAGAGCAAACTAATGTATGCAGCAGCCAAATCGCTCGCTCACGACTTTAATGCCAGGAGCTCACAAAGTAGAATTTTTGCTCACAGGACTCCACACCTTAGAGGGAACATTGTTTGTGAGCTACTGGCATTAAAGTTGTGAGCCAGCGATTTGGCTGCTGCATACATGAGTTTGCTCTGGAGCCCTCCTTCCTGAGCTAAAACAAAAACGTGTGAGCCAGAGGCTAAAAAACTGTGAGCTAGCTCACACTCACTCAGCTTAGAGGACACACTGGACATAGTTCTCACTTAGTTTTGGGTATAGATGAAACCTTTCCCAGTGACCCGTTTCTGCGTTCACCGGAACCCCGTATTAAAAACTATTAACTTTCACTTTCTGCTTAAGAAGAAACGGCGCAGGCAGGCAAAAGGACCTCAACACGGTCCCAAGGTCCCTGCAGAGAAATGTGCCTGGCTGGTAGGAAGCCCCCAGCCCACCCGGGACTTGACTTTTGCACCGCATCGGTTGCCATCCCCTTGACTGAACCCACCTTGGGCACAGGGAGGGAGGATGCAAAGAAGGGGGAAGCGACACCCGCGCGCACTGAGTCTCGCCCTGCCTCAGTGTTACCTGCTCGGACACGGCCCGAAAGAGGCACGAGGCGTCTTTGGCCGTGAGCTTGCGGTAGAGCCCCAGGCTGCCCAGGTACTCGTCCATGGTCACCTCGCTCAGGGACTTCTGCCCAAAGTACTTCTTCCAGCCTTTCTGCATCGTGGGGGAGGGAGGGAGGGGAAGAGAGAGAGAGAAAAGACCCCCCTGCTCGGCCTGGCCCAGAAGGAGCCGCCGCTGCCGCCGCCACCCGGCCAGCGCCTCGAGAGCGCTTCACACCTGGGCGCGCGAGCCTCCGGCTGCGGAGGGGAGGCAGGGCGCAGGCGCGGGCCGAGGGGAGGGGAGGGGAGGCGAGGGGGCGCCGGTTGGGGGCAGCGGCGCCCCGAGGAGGCGG